TTCGTGTTGAATCGTGATTAATGAGGTTGGAAGGGCGAGGGGAAATACGTGCGTAATTGGGTCGGGGACCTTGAAGGGTCGGGACGGTTTCACGGTGCGGTTTTTGTTCTGCGGCCTGTCGGTGGCACGCGCCGGTTGAAGTGGAAGGACCTGTCGTTGCAGGTGAGCGGTATCAGCACAGAGATCTTCAAACAAATCGAGACCGTCGAGAACGATCATGACGCCTCGACGGCAGCGGCCCTCGAAGCTGTCGATCGGAGGGGTGAGATGGTCGTACGGATCATCGAGCCGCGACAGATGGGCAGGCAGGCGTCCGAGGCTGCGAAGAAGTTCACCGCCATGCAGGTTCGTTTTTCACACAGCAATTATTAATTATTAATAATCGATTCAAATAAAAAATTGTACTGTAATGAGACGACCGGCTCCGTTGAACAGAGTCGAGATCGGAAAAGTTGTTCTTAAAACGTGGCAAGGATCGAATTGTGCGCGCAGACGTTGCAAAGTGTAATTGTGTGTGGCAGGATCCGAAGCACCCCATTCACTTCGTGGAGATAATCAAAAGGCCGGGACAGACGCTGGGACTGTACATACGCGAGGGCAACGGCGTCGACAGGAACGACGGCGTCTTTATCTCGAGGATAGCCCTGGAGACCGCCGTCTACAACAGCGGCTGCCTGAAGGTGAGAATCAGCCCTCCCTCCCCTCCTACCTTCTTGCACTTTTCCTGGCTCACCTTAATTGCCCCCCGCGCCTCGAGGCCAATTTAGGCCCGGAACTTATTGCCGCTGCCTGCCGGGAATTAAACCCGGCGCTGCTATTTTTATCGGAGCGTGTATCGTACTTTTCTTCTTGGTAAAAAACGTTTCCTCATCGATCCTCTCGATTTTCTTCTTTCTAATTAGGTCGGCGATGAGATCCTCGCGGTGAATCTGGTCGACGTGACGCACATGAGCCTCGACGACGTTGTGATCATCATGTCGATACCCAGGAGGCTGATCCTGGCGACGAGGCACGGTCAGCACCAACCAGTCTCGCATAGCCGTCAGACCGAGCACAAGGCGCCACCCGTTGTGGTAATCAAGAGAGAACTGAACGAGGACGAGAGCGATCATGCGACCAGTAATCACGTCAGGTAGTTAAAATTATTAATGACAATAATGAAAAATAAAAATTCGCATCTTCAGTCTTTATTGTTCCGTTATCACATTTTTTTACTGGCCTCCCTTTCATTAAAAATTCGGAGACGTCCTTCGGCGATAGATGGAAATGTGCAAATGAAGAAATATAGTTTGACTCGCAGGGACGGTAACCGTAGACGTGGCGATGGTCGCGAGATGCTGCCATCTCGGTCGAGATTAGGTCTGACGGGTCTCGGGTCTAGTCAGGATCTTGGATCCAGCAACGGCGATCTGTATTATAACTCCAGACCGGAGGGGCACTGGTCCTATCAACCGCCACCGCCGCCAGTCATCACGCATCAGCCGAAACCGTCTGCTACTCAACACTTCCAGCCGTACGAGCGCGGATACCCGAAAACTTTGGAAAGTTTGGCTGAGAAGGTAAGCAACGTACTTGTCTCAAGTATTTTCTTCGTGCTTCCGACGCAGCTCGAGGTTTCATCGATTCGTTCAGGAAAATACATAAATAATAAACAAGAATTTGATAGAATGTTTTATGCCACGAAGTTTGAATTGAACGCACGTAGAAGGGCTTCGAATTTCCAGCTGCGGTCGGATATAGATCACATAGATGTTCTAGACGATGTGGATCGAGCACCCTTTCATACATATACCTGTCTGCACCAAGTTGACACTTGTTTGCCCTTCTCTGTCTTCAATTGCGATAGCGATTATAAGAAAGTGGTGAATTCGTGGCAATGTCTCGAGACACTCCTGAATAGTGATCGGTACGCTGCGCACCGTCTCGTTCTCCAAGCGTTCCTACGTCGCGTACTCGCGGATGATCATGCATTGTTTTAATTTATTTTTAAACGACTTGGACTGTAGACGGTTCGCAGCACGTTCTCGTGTTTCGACCACGTGTTTCACATAACTAATTGGTTCTATGAATGAATGCTACGTTGATATTAACCAGGATTTCACAAAGGTAAAGAAACCAGCAAATCTTTCTTGATATACATATAGACTTGTGTATGCAGCAAATTCCCTGCACCGTACGCCCACCTTGGACGGTGAACAAATATTTGGAATATTTTCCATCGTTAATCTTTAATCTAATCAGATAAAAAAATAATAATAAATATTTGTCGACGTCCAAGTGGGTTTGAATATCTGTCGCTGTTTACCAAACGTAACTCCACTTTTTGTTGCCTTGTAAGCTTTGCTCTCTGTATGTTCGTTCTGTATTTCTTCCTTTACGAGTAATTAATTACCTGGTCGTAGCCCGGCGTGGCGATCCGTGGACGTTTAAATTGAATTCTAATCGAGACCATTGAACCACGGATCACGACGCCGAGGTATTTGAACTAGACTCTCCTTTCTTTGAATCACACTCGGCCCGTGGCATATGAAATTTACTTTTAAAAGTATCGATCGGTCGATTGTGAAACGAAGAAAGAAACAGAGGGATCGCAGACGACTTGAATCGAATTTAGGTACACTCGTTCTACACTGGCCCGGTGATGCCTTCCAACGGCGGCCGTCGGATGTCCACCGGGGCTGGGATGCAGTCGGTGGGAAGCAGACTCTCCGGCCAGACCCAGTCCACGCACTACGGCTACAGCCAGCACACCGGAACTGGGAGGATCATGCCCAGGAGCGGCTCCGATCAGCATCTGCCGCGGGTCGACTACACGAGCATCACCACCCCGGCTAGGCACACTCTTCTCAGATCCAGCTTGAAATCAGGTCCGCTTGCGTGTAACGATCCGAGACCAGAAACTGATATCAGTAGCCAATTACAATTTCGAATAAATAAAATAATAAATAATATCTGTTGATCGCGCAGGAACATCGGCGTTGAGATACAATACGAGGTACGGCGCTCAGGGAGACGGTACGTCGAGCACCCAGAGACAAGGCCAGTACGGCACGCTGACCAGGAGGCATCGGCCGTCGCTAGACTACGCGTCGGACACCGAGGCCACGTGTTCCAGCTCGCCGAAGTCCGCGTACTATTACTACAGGCACAACATGAACAATCCGCCGTCGAGTAGCGCTGTCTCGCACCTTGCCACGCTGTCAAGGTCGCAGATCGGTCAGAGTTCCTCAGGTAAGTAATTTCATGATCGAGGCCAGACCCCTCCCGACCCCTCCCAAACCCGGCCGAAGACCCGGAATTCACATCACCCGCTTGCATGCACCGTGAACGAGAGTCACGAGAAATTGAGTTGAAATTAACAACGCTGTCTCTAGGCTTGAGATCGAATTCGTTGCCTCGTAGTGGCAGAACGTTGCCCCAGCAACCTGGTCTCAGGTCTGGACTTAGCACGGTAGCATCGGGACTAATAGATCAGGAAGATAGTGACGGGGCATTGTCGGCACCCGAACTACCTTCCATCAGACGCGATAGAGGTCAGTTTTGATGTTCAATTAGCGAGCAAACGTTCGTTTGACGCCGGCTGGGAACGGAGAGTGTAATCGAGATCGTTTTATCTGTTTATGGAACGGCAGGGAGAATACCGTCATCACCGAGTGTGTTCACGTCGGACGAGTACCGAGCCTGGCTGAGTCGTACCCCGAGCACCAGCGCGTTGTACGATCAGATCAGAGCCACGACGACCAGGCCGCCGCGTTACACCTACAGCGCAGAGAACATTCACGCGGCTGTGAATCAAGTGAGTATCGAACTCTCGCTTTTGGATGTTCGACGTCTAAATTGAATTTCTGCGTTCAGGGCGAGTACGGAAGTTACGGAGCGTACAGGCCTCTCTCGAGCACGCTCGATCGTCTGTCGACAAGGTCGGCGTCCGCGCAGCAAGTGAACTTGGCGAATCTGAAGGCGTCGACGGCAATCAGCTCAACGTGCCACCGCGGAACGTCGAACCAGAGACCATCTTCGGTCGCGTCCGGCGCCCGTGCGTCTCTGACCAGCCAGAAGCCCTCGTTGTCCAGCTCCGCCACTCAGAGGGCCACTTCCGTCAGGAGAATCAGGAATCTACTGGACTTGGAATCCACGCGAAGTATACCCACCCCTACGCCTACCAGAACTCAGGATCAAAGACTGCTAGATATTAATCCTGCAGGTATGCGACTATTCAAGTAACTCTTAGATCGGAATGTACTTTGAATATTGTCCGATTTTACAATTATTCATAATTATATGCAAAATCGTTGAACATTCGGAGTTCGGAGAAATCGTTTGTAAGAAGTATTATTCAATTTTCGCGCAGAGTTCCTCAAGTATAAAATAGAAAAGCCTCCGACCGTGGGAACTCCGAGTTCGACCAGCTCACTGTTGAGTTCACTCGGTGACGCGACCAGCGGCGATTTAGCGGGTGGAGTCAGCGGACTGCTCTCGGTTCATTTACTGGCTGGCCGCGGCCTTCGTTCGACGACGTCCTCCTCGGCGGCCACCACGCCCTCGACACCGTCAGGTCAGCCTAATTTAGGTACGTTCGGGAGTCCGCACACCCTATAGAGCGTTTCTATCCGTCGCACAACCCTCACGAAGCTGATCTTTCGTTTACCATTATTATCAGACCGCAGATTTCAAGAAATTCGGAAAATGAAATTTATTCCATAAATCTGCTGTCTAGCAGTTATGTTTTTTGTTATTTATAGTAAATCCTCGCACCTGAAACTCTCGAATGTTAGAAAACAGCTACGACAAATGCGTTAGAATAATTCTGAACAATCGAGGCTTTTAATCGTGATCTTTTGGAAATATCTTCCAAAAGAGCGAAGGTGCCTCGAGTTTACTTGAACGCTTCGTTCAGAAAACTGTATCCAATGAAATATTTGTTGTTCGAACGAAATTCACAACAGCTAGCTGCGGTTTGAGAGACCTCTACTGCGTACTGGAGTGTGACAGGGTGCACAAGGCGAGGACGGTGATGCGAACCGGGGACCTGATGTTCGACTGGGACGAGACCTTCGAGCTGGACCTCGTTGGCAACCGGCAGTTGGACCTGCTCGTTTACTCCTGGGACCCGCAGTACAGGCACAAGCTCTGTTACAAAGGATCCGTACATCTCGCGAGCCTCCTCAAGGAATCACCGGTGCACCAGCTGGCCGTCAAGGTCGAACCGCGCGGCACGATATACTTAAGACTGCGATACACCGACGCGCAACAGACTTTCCGGAGGAGAGGACTTCCGGTGATATCTCTCGCGACGAGAGTCGCCCCACTCTTCGGCGTCGATCTTGAGACAGTGGTGAGTTAAATATTCGATGAATCAACCTGCTATGAGAATATTTCTACTCCAGTATTGGTTTCGATTTGATGATTCAGGTGAGTCGAGAAAGTAAAACCGGTGGAGTTCCTGGAGGTGTTTCAACTGCTCTAGCGATGGGTGTTCCAAACGTGCCCATCATCGTCTGGCGGTGCGTCGAGGAGGTCGAGAGACGAGGTCTCGACATAATTGGTAAGTTTCCACTGTCATTCTCGAGTTCCGGCAGTCGTGATATCGGCAATGAACGCGTTCAATGATGATTCGTTTCATCAGGTCTATACAGGCTTTGCGGATCGGCAACGAAGAAGAGGATACTCAGAGAGGCCTTTGAAAGGAATGCCCGCTCGGTGAACTTGTCTCCCGATAACGTCCCGGACATCAACGTTATTACCGGTAATTATTCTCGAACCGGATTTGTTATAACAGAGCTAATATAATTTATTCGGTGGTTCAGGCGTGTTGAAGGATTATTTACGAGAACTTCCGGAACCACTTTTCACGAAGTGCCTCTACCAAATGATGGTCGACGCACTGGCCGTTTGTTTACCAGACGATCCTCAAGGCAACGCGAAACTCATGTTCAGTATACTCGACTGCTTGCCAAAAGTGAATAAGGTACGTCTTAATATTCTCGACGTTCTCTCATCGATACGAGACGTCACTGACTGATCGCGTGATCTTTGATTTAACAGTGCACGTTGATCTACTTGCTTGACCATCTGGCAATGGTGGTATCGCAATGTAACAAGATGTCACCGGCCAGTCTGGCGGTGTGCTTCGGACCTGTGCTGATGCTTCACTCGGAAGAGAACGGACCACCTTTGGACTTCCAGCAACCGATAGCAGTGCTCAAGTACCTCCTCGAGATCTGGCCCGTTAAGTCAGGTAATGTCTTCATTCCTGACGGACAACTTCGATTATCAGGCTTTTCCAAAAAATCCCTTTAAGATCGATCGATCTAGTAGAAAAATGAGATTGTACGGTAGAACGGACGATAAGCCTGATAAAACGAACGGTGGTAAGAATATGAGCCGGATGATCAGTCGCTCATTTCACAGACAGTTCGGAAGATTTCTTCAGTCGCTTCGGCGCTTCCTCGAGTTACGCCACCAGTCGAGCAGCACAGCAACAGTCAGCATCAACTGCAGCCGCAGCAGCAACAGCAGCAGCAGCAGCAGCAGCAACTCCAGGGAACATTGGGACGCACAGGGCTGCCCTGGCAGCCTCAACACTCACTTCATCAACAGTACCCACCTACGGCACCACCCGCAGCCCTCGCGCCCTCCACTCGTCCTCCGCCGCCGGTCAAACCTCGCCAGGTCAGTGAGATTTTCCAATATTCCTCGCTTTTATTCTCAGCTACGTTCGTTACCGTTACCGATCTTAAATCGATTCGTCCTCTGTTCAGAATTTTCTTTCTTTCTATCAAATCTGAGAAATATTTGAACAGAGGACGGATAGAGGGAGGGTCAAAAAAACAAGACAATCAAAACTTTTCTGGACCTCAAGGCAACGCGAAACTCATGTTCAGTATACTCGACTGCTTGCCAAAAGTGAATAAGGTACGTCTTAATATTCTCGACGTTCTCTCATCGATACGAGACGTCACTGACTGATCGCGTGATCTTTGATTTAACAGTGCACGTTGATCTACTTGCTTGACCATCTGGCAATGGTGGTATCGCAATGTAACAAGATGTCACCGGCCAGTCTGGCGGTGTGCTTCGGACCTGTGCTGATGCTTCACTCGGAAGAGAACGGACCACCTTTGGACTTCCAGCAACCGATAGCAGTGCTCAAGTACCTCCTCGAGATCTGGCCCGTTAAGTCAGGTAATGTCTTCATTCCTGACGGACAACTTCGATTATCAGGCTTTTCCAAAAAATCCCTTTAAGATCGATCGATCTAGTAGAAAAATGAGATTGTACGGTAGAACGGACGATAAGCCTGATAAAACGAACGGTGGTAAGAATATGAGCCGGATGATCAGTCGCTCATTTCACAGACAGTTCGGAAGATTTCTTCAGTCGCTTCGGCGCTTCCTCGAGTTACGCCACCAGTCGAGCAGCACAGCAACAGTCAGCATCAACTGCAGCCGCAGCAGCAACAGCAGCAGCAGCAGCAGCAGCAACTCCAGGGAACATTGGGACGCACAGGGCTGCCCTGGCAGCCTCAACACTCACTTCATCAACAGTACCCACCTACGGCACCACCCGCAGCCCTCGCGCCCTCCACTCGTCCTCCGCCGCCGGTCAAACCTCGCCAGGTCAGTGAGATTTTCCAATATTCCTCGCTTTTATTCTCAGCTACGTTCGTTACCGTTACCGATCTTAAATCGATTCGTCCTCTGTTCAGAATTTTCTTTCTTTCTATCAAATCTGAGAAATATTTGAACAGAGGACGGATAGAGGGAGGGTCAAAAAAACAAGACAATCAAAACTTTTCTGGTCTACAGCTTTCCATCATATTTTTATATTTATTAAATAAAATACAAGAGGCGTCGTTCATCGCTAAACCCGAAAGGAGGCCAGGAAAGTTGAACGAAACGGTTCGAAAGAGTGAAAGAAGAATAATTGAACAAGCCAAGTCTCGTCTCGCTCTTCGCTTTTCTTGTCCGTGTCCCACATATGTGCATTATCCGGAGCGTGTTGTGAAACAGCATGGTAGACAAAGTAAAAAAAGACTGTTCTCCTCCCATTGTTCTCATCGCTTCGCAGATAGAAGCCCTGTTCGCGCTTTCACGATCTCGTCAATCATTTGTTCGCCGATCGGTGAGAGACCCGCTCGAATCCATTCATTCGCTCATGTTCATTCATCGTATACGTTCGCTGGCTCATTCGTACGATCGTGTCCCGGTTACAGATACAATTTTATCGAGGACCGTTCTCCGTTTGCAAATTGCTCGCTACAGGCCACCTATTCAACAAAGAGATAGTCATCGAGGATAAAAAGGAGTAACAGATCGACGAGTATTCACGGTGGAAAATACCACCTGAGATCTGGTTACTCGCGCGCAATTAGAACACAGGCTTGAACGGTGAGGAGTTTGCAAAACGATCCGGAACCGCGAGCGTGTAAATACCTGAAACGCCGTAGAGAGAAATGTGCATGTCTCGATGTGTCAGTACTGTACCAATTCACTTTTCTGGGTGTGAAACGTCGACGTTGAATCGTGTATTCGGACGGGGCCGGGTCTTATGATTTGTTCACATTTTACGCAAAACTCTCTATACGTGTCTCTATCTCTATCTGTCTGTCTCTATTTCTATTTCTATCTCTATCTCTCGACGTGTCTTTCAATTATAGTGACGATTTACGTTGTCTTCTTTATCTTTTTTCGTTTTTGGGCACGATTCATTCTTCAGAGCAAGCGCAAATTGCCGGCTCTACCAAATCGCTGACAGCACAGAGACGCCGCTTCTTGCACAGGTATTATCGTTATTATCGTTTTCAATTCCGCGTTCTTTTTTATAAAAAAAAAAAAATCATCACCCGTTTAGTTTTATATCGTTCTTATCACATGCATGGCCCGATATTATATCAAATACATATATA